AGAAGATTTTTCACAATTCCAAAAATTTTTCTTTGGAAGACATACAAAAACATCTTCATATTGAGGAAGAATCAAGGGCAAGAAATAAGATTGAAAATTCTTATGATGGCACTTCAAAGGCTAATGTTGTTAACAATGTGGACAACTCCAACAAATTTAAAAAGAAAGGAAAATTTCATGGTCCTAGAAAGGATCAAGGAAAGTTCAAAAACAAAGTCAAAGGACCTTGCTATGTTTGTGGAAAATTGGGACACTATGCTAAGGATTGCAGACATAGGAAAAAACAAAAGAAGGAAGGACAAGTGAACTCTGTTGATGAGATTATCGCCACGGTGAGCGAAATCAATGCAATCCAAGGCAAAGTTCTGGGCTGGTGCTACGATACATGCGCTACAATCCATGTATGTTATGATAAGTCTCTCTTCAAAACTTATTATGACATTGAAGACAATTAAGAGATACAAATGGAAAATGAAGGAAGATCAAAAGTGATTGGCAAAGGAAATGTGGAACTCATTTTCTCTTCGGGAAAGAAGATCACTTTGACAAATGTCTTGCATATACCGGAAATGAATAGAAACTTAGCAAGTGGTGTACTCTTGGGAAAACCTGGAATTAATCTGTTTTTGAATCTGAAAAGCTTGTATTAACCCATAATGGGCACTTTGTTGGAAAGGTTTATTCCACCGAAGGAATGGTCAAACTATGTACTATTGAGGATAACTTAAATAAAATTAAATCTTTTGCGTATGTTACTGATTCATTCAATTTATGGCACGGTGGATTAGCACATACAGGAGTTAATACTATGAAAATAATGATTAAATGTGGATTAATACAATGTGATATTGACAACTTGAAAAAACGTGAAACATGTGTTAAATCAAAAATGATTAAGAAGTCATTTCATAGGTAGTAAGAACAACAAGATTACTTGAACTTGTTCATTCCGAAATATGTGAATTGAATGGAATGTTAACTAGAGGTGGTAATAGATATTTTATTACTTTTATTGATGATTGTTCTAGATATACCTATGTGTATTTATTAAAACATAAGGATGAAGCCTTTAGTGCCTCTAAGACTTATAAGATTGAAGTTGAAAATTAATTAAGAAGAAAATTAAAGACTTTAAGAAGTGATAGAGGTCGGGAATATTTTTCTAATGCATTTAACATGTTTTGTAAACAAAATGGAATAATACATCAAGTTTCTGCACCTAGAACACAGGAACAAAATGGATTAGCAGAAAAAAGAATAGAACTCTTTTAGAAATGATAAATGCAATGTTGTTAAATTTTGAATTACCCTTTAACCTATGGGGTGAAACCTTACTTAGTGCTTGCCATATAACAAATAAGATTCCTATGAAAAAGAATAAAATTTCTCCATATGAAATTTGGAAAAATAGAAAAGCAAATATTAGTTATTTTAAAGTGTGGGGGTGCTGGGGTGCCTTGCCTATTGTAAGAATATGGATCCTAAGAGAATCAAGTTAGGTCCTAGAGGTATCCCTTGTGCTTTTGTGGGATATGCTCTCAACAGCAAAGCCTATAGATTATTAAATCTAGAAATAGATGTTATAATAGAATCAAGAGATGTGGAATTCGATATAATGGTGACTAGGAAATCTGAAAAAAAAAATAATAAGGATATTTCAATCTCTAGAAGCTCACCAGAAGAGACATCCATAAAAGATGTTGAAATTGAACCTCGAAGAAGTAAAAGAACTTAGGATAAGATGAAATGGATCCCCAACTTATTTCTTTTTACTTAGTAGAAGGAGATAGGAAGGATGTTATAAGAAACATTCCCTTTGTTCTTTAAGTGGAAAGTGGTCCTAAGACTTCTAAGGAAGCGATGCGATCTAAAGATTGCATGTTCTAGAAAGAAGCCATGAACAATGAAATGGATTCTATTATTTCAAATAACACTTGGAAAATAGTTGACTTGCCAGAAGGATCTAAGGCTACGGGTTGCAAGTGGGTGTTTAGGAAGAAATACAATTCCAATGGATCTCTTAATACCTACAAGGCTATATTAGTGGTTAAAGGGTATCGTCAAAGAGAATGAATTGATTACTTTGACATATATGCACCTGTAGCTAGGATAACCTCGATCAAAATCTTATTTGCGTTAGCATCCATTTATGATCTACATATTCATCAAATGGACGTCAAGACAGCGTTCCTAAATGGAGATCTCGAAGAAGAGGTCTATATGGAACAACCAGAAGGGTTCGTTCTAGCGGGAAATGAACATAAAGTGTGCAAATTAATTAAATCCTTATATGGACTAAAGCAAACTCCCAAAAAGTGGCATGAGGAATTTGATTCTAAAATAATGTCAAATGGATTTAATCACTATTCGGTAGATAAATGTCTCTACACGAAAGTTAATGATAATATATTCACGTTAGTATGTCTATATGTTGATGATATGCTAATCATTAGCAATAATATAGACAGGATCAAAGAAACAAACTTGTTTCTATCCTCTACTTTCAAAATGAAGAATCTTGGAGAAGTTGATACTATCCTTGGTATCAAAGTTAAAAAGGATAGTGGGGGTTTTACATTAAGTCAATCACACTATGTTGAGAGTGTGATAAACAAATTCAAACATTTGAATATTAAGGAGTCTAACACTCCTGGAGATCTAGATATTAAATTGATGAAGAATGAAGGTAGAGCAATTGCACAAATAGAATACGCAAATGCAATTGGAAGTCTTATGTATGCATCACAATGTACAAGACCCGATGTAGCATTTGCTGTAAGTAAACTAAGTAGGTTTACTAGCAATCCAAGTTCAGAACATTGGAAGGCCATCGGTAGGGTTCTTGATTACCTACAGAAAACCAAAAATCTTGGGCTACAATATACAAAATTTCCTAAAATCTTGGAAGGATATACTGACGCATGTTGGATAGCGAGTGCAAGAGAGAATAAACCTACTTCAGGCTGGATATTCACTCTTGGAGAAGGTGCAGTTTCTTGGAAGTATAAGAAACAACTTGTATTACTCATTCAACTATGAAATCAGAGTTTGTAGCATTGGTCGAAACCGGGAAAGAAGCTGAGTGGCTAAGAGATTTATTATATGAAATACCTTTAGATATAAAGGATATTTTTTCTATACCTATCTTGTGTAATAGTCAAGTCACTCTAGCTGGAGCATATAATGAAGTATATAATAGAAAGTCTAGACACAAAAGTCTAAGACACGAGTATGTAAGGAAATTAATCAAACATGGAGTAATTTCTCTTACATTTGTTAAGTCTAGTAAGAACTTAGCTGATCCATTTACGAAACCTCTCACAAATGAGTTAGTGAGATCAATATCAAATAAAATGGGATTAAAACTTCTCAAATAGATCCACCAATAACTGCAACATCACTAAAATATACTAAACTAGTATATATATAGGTTCAAGAGGTAACAACAAGTTATTCGATAAGTGGATGGATTCAACAATATTAAATATATCTAATACTATCTTTGGAAAATAGTGTTGGTTGTTACTGTTGGAGGGATGAGTTAAAATAAACTCTTAATGAAGTTCAATACAGAGTACAAGTATCTATAAAAGTAACAAAGATACTGGAAGAACTTCACCTATGTGAACTTTGAGGTGGTGCCGTCTCATTAGAGAGTTGGAGTTTTCTCTCTTTAAAAGTTCAATAAAATAGGATAAGTGCAAGGTCATATTAGTACTAAGTGATTTAGAGGAACTAGTGAAAAGCTTAACACCTGTGTGTGTGATTTCATTGGTATTGTTACAAAGAATAACTGGTTCAAGGCACACTAACCACTTGGAATTCTAATAATACTTTATGAGATTTACACTATGAATAAATTCAAATCAAAAGATATCTAATTCTTATGCATAAGTGTTGACATTTGATTATGTGATTAATCCAGATTTTGAACAAGTAGGGGATTGTTGGAATTTATTTGTTGTTCAAAATCAAGGGGGAAAAAAAAGAAAAAAAGAGTGGCTTAACCATGCGACCACATGGATTAACCCATACGGTCGCATGAGGCCCTTCGAGAATGGGAGGGCTGGCGAAGCTATAACCATGTGACCGAATGGCTATAACTCATGCGGTCGCATGGTTATCAAAAACTAATCGTTTTGACCGTTTTTATTTGAAATTGGTGGTTTTTCATCCTTATTTTGCACCATTTCGTGAAAAACTTGCCAAGGCCTATAAATAGGTGATCCAAATGCAAGAATGATATATTGAGTTCCATTGAAATTTATCCCCAAATTATACTTCCAATATTGAGAAAATTAATCACATAATCCTTCCTTTTTTCACTTGTTCACTTCACTTGTTCATTGTGAAGAAATACCTTTGCTTTTTGGTGTTCTTCTTGCCAATGCTTGTTTAATCCTATAAACTATTTGCTAGAAATCCTTTAAAAAACATTGGAAATGAGGCAAATAACGTTTGAGGACAACGAGATTAATTTCGTGTTCAAGCCTACATTGATATATTTTTATAATTTTCTTCTTCATTGCCATTATTTTTTTTTCAACATTATATTCAATTGCCGAAAAGTTATTGTTTCTCAAGCTGTGTTCTTCGAGATCAGGTAGATCAGTGAAGGAGTTCGTGGAAGCTTGTAAGAAGGCAACTGGGGTGCCTATAAAAGTGGATTTCCTTTCACGTAGGCCTGGTGATTATGCAGAAGTGTACAGATTGAACTGAACCGCAAAATATAGTAATCTTCAAGAAAGTATACAGATTGCATGGAAATGGCAGATTGCTCATATTAATGGGTATGAAACCCCTCAGGTTAAGTCGTCATAAATATCTCGGGGAAGAAACCCATTTTATCAAATATGGTTTCGTTAGTAGCCTCTCCTATTCAATTCTGATTTGAAGTTTGTCCAGTTTAGCATCAAGCTTGTAACTTATTTCTTATTATTCTACGCATAAAATCAATACCTAAGGGAGACGAAAAGGAGAGAAACTGAACACCACAATGCTTTGTTTAAGAACTCCGCATAGCAACGCAATCCATTAAGCAATTATAACATTTTACATTTTTATATTCAATGAAGCCAAAACCAGGAGCTCTGTAAATTGAATTTTAACAAAATCTAACATCCAAAAGTGTACGGGCAAAAGTAACATCTAAACAAATTGAACTTCATAAAAGTAGTTGTCTGGACAACTCCAAATGTTTTCAAGGGATGTTAAAGAAAAGTATACTCGTCATATTGGTGTAAGAGACTAGAACCGACATTAAGACAATCTCATATCTTGTGAAGGGTCCATTCGTCAAGCATTCGTCTGTACTGCCCTGTCAAAACTCTCTTCTGCAGTTTTTGCACGTTTGACAAGTATGTGATCCGGGTGTGATAATGTCAATTGGCTGCACAAAGTAGCATATACATGTAAGTGCAACAAGAAATGCCTTCGAAGTAAATTGAGGAATTTTTCAAATTTTGAAGGGAACTAGAAATTAAGTTGACGACAAGGAAAATAAATAATAAAGAATAATAGGCTGCAGAATTATTAACCATGGGTGAACAAAAGAAATTAAACGGAGCTCAAAATTAGATACTCCATTCAGTTTATCATTAATAATCAGAGATGAGTTATGTTTCGAAAACAAACGAAAATGATCCACGAACAAGAAAAGTATTAATAACATTTTAAAAGCTAGCATCTTTTGTGTTACACTTGGCACTGATTTATATTATAAATACTTTCGGTTAAACCTACTTTTTATCACCCACATTTCGTGGAACCCAATAATTCTACTAACTTATCTACCACTCATTTTGATCTATTTATAATTTAAACTGATAAAAATAATTCCCAAACATGCTTCCGTTTTCCCACATAAAATAATTTTCTGATAAGCCCCAAGTTAAATTCAACTTATAGCAGATGCAAGAAGGCACTAGAGGGAATCAACCATATGACAGCAGGGCCTTAGTAATTTACAGAATCTGTTAAGGGTTGTTAGCTATTTTGTTAAAGTTAGTTACAGGAAGGGCTATAAATAAATGAGTTGGGGGGGGGAACAGGTAGAATATATGTATTGAGAAAAGAGTGGTCATCCGTGTAGTGCAATTTCTTATTTTCTATATTGCTTCTAGTTAAAAAATTCATAAGTTCTCTCATCTGTTCCTATCACATTGGTATCAGAGCAACAGATCTATCCTATAATCATGACTCTCAACAATCGAGTGGGAGCACTAGAGCAACAGGTAGCAGACAACCACGCTTCCTTACAGTCGGGTATGGAAGCCATGAAGGCAGAATTAATGGCAAAGTTCGACGTATTGTTGCGAACTTGGGAGGTACAGGAGAGAAACAGGAAAGAGAAGGGAGAGGCCACCTCAAAATCACCAGAACCATCACCGGGGTTGGGGAGAGATCAAATCAGTACCGAAGGAAGTGGAAATGGCGGTGGTAGCTTCGACAATGGGTGGAGGTCCGAGTCGCGAGTCAGGCGGCTGGACATGCCGATTTTTGATGGGGACGATCCCGATGGGTGGATTTTTCGGGTGGAGCGCTATTTCAGCGTTAACCGAATGACAGAAGAAGAGAAATGGGAAGCTGCGACAATATATTTGGAGGGAGATGCCCTGGCGTGGTACCAGTGGGCGGAGCGCCGCTAACCCATGAAAAATTAGGAGGAATTGAAGAGGTATTTGCTGCACAGATTCCGGCCATCTCAAGAGAAGTCACTATGTGCCCAATTTTTAGCTCTCCAACAGACAACCACCGTCCAGGAATACCGGCAGCAATTTGAAAGGCTGGCTTCACCGTTACAGAATGTATCGATGGAGATACTGGAATGTAATTTCATTAATGGACTCTCTCCAAACATCAGGGATGAGGTCCAACTACTCAATCCAATGGGTCTTGAACAAATAATGGATGTGGCCCAAAGGGTTAAAGAGAGAAATCAGATGGTGCAGCATGGACCATTTACCTTTAGCCCAGCAAGATTAAAGAGTCCATTAGCTACCCCAAGTCCTAGAGTAGCCCACAATCCGATTCCATTCCAGAAATCTACGGTACCTGTAAGTATCGTTCCCAATCGAATGGTTCCTCCTTCAAAACCCATCATCCCTTTCAAGCGGCTTATAGATGCAGAGTTGCAAAGGAAGAAGGGAAGGGGTTTATGCTACAAATGAAATGAGAGATTCACTATTGGGCATCAATGTAAGAACCAGGAACTCCAAGTGATGGTGATTCGGGAAAATGAAGAGGAAGACCATGGAGGAAGGAAGGAGACCGGCCAATCTAGCGAACTGGTCGGCGAGCAACCTACTAAGGCCGGCGAGTTCATAGATGGCGATGCCGAGGATGTAACGGCGACTGGGTCCTCGGTCGAGCTATCCATTAATTCTATGGTGGGTCTCACGGCACCGGAAAGGATGAAATTGAGAGGGGTAATTGGGCGGAAGGAAGTTATAGTTCTCATTGATTGCGGGGCTTCTCATAATTTCATCGTTGCGAAAGTTCTGGGTCTTCCATTGTCCAGTACTATGGGGTACGGAGTAGTCATGGGGATGGGCTTTACTGTGAAAGGGGAAGGGGTCTGTCGAATGGTGAAATTGCAACTACAGAATGTAACTGTGGAAGAGGATTTCCTGCGCTTGGAACTGGGAAGCTCTGATGTCATTTTGGGTATGCAATGGCTGCGTAAGCTAAGCAATATGCAGGTTAATTGGCAGAACCTCACTATGACCTTCACAGTTTCAGGGATGGTGATCACACTGAGGGGCGATCCCAGCTTGAGTGGAGGGTCTGTACCTATGAAAACAATGATGAAGGCACTCATGGCACAGGGAGAAGGGGTGTTGCTAGAATTGGGGAACATCGAGGTCCAGACTGAACGTCAACGCCTGCAACCCCCAACCATGATTTCAGACGTTTTGGATGAGTTTGCGTCGGTCTTTAAGATGCCGAACTGCATGCCACCTGCAAGGAGGCATGATCATGCCATTAACCTTCAGCCAAGAACAGCCCCGGTCAGCGTGAGACCATATCGTTATCCCCATTTCCAAAAGAACGAGATAGAGAGATTGGTTCGGGAGATGATTGCAGTAGGGTTTATTCAATAGAGCATTAGCCCCTTCTCAAGCCCGGTTTTGTTGGTGAAGAAGGACCGAAGTTGGAGATTTCGTGTTGATTATCGGGCCTTGAACAAAGTCACAGTTGTTGCCTTGAACAAAGTCACAGTTGCCAACAAGTTTCCAATTCCAGTGATAGATGAACTACTAGACGAGCTCAATGGCGCCACGATGTTTTCAAAAATTGATTTGAAGTCCGAGTACCATCAAATAAGGGTACGACCAGAAGATGTTCCGAAAACCACCTTCTGAACTCATGAAGGACATTATGAGTTTCTTGTCATGCCCTTCGGTTTAACTAACGGGCCAGCAACCTTTCAGTCGCTTATGAATGAGAATTTTAGAGGCTATCTCCGAAAGTTCGTTTTGGTGTTTTTTAATGACACGCTAGTCTACAGCCGCAGCACAGAGGAGCACGGGACCATTTGAGGGCTGTATTACAGGTGTTAGTAGACAACCAGTTATACGCCAACAAGAAGAAATGTTTGTTTGGACAGCAAGAATTGGAATATCTGGAGCATATTATTTCGGCAAGAGGAGTCTCGACCGATGAGTCGAAAGTGGCAGCAATGAAACAATGGCCCAGACCTAAGTCTCTCAAGGAGTCGAGAGGATTCCTTGAACTGACTGGGTACTACCGTCGGTTCGTCAAATCATATGAGAGCATTGCCTGGCCTTTAACAGAGCTGCTTAAGAAAGACAATTTTGGGTGGAACAAAGACGCAGAGGCTGCCTTCGTGAAGCTGAAGGATGCCATGACGACGGTGCCAGTTTTGGGTTTACCTGATTTTACAAAGCCATTCATTGTGGAAACCGATGCCTCGGGGTATGGAATAGGCGCGGTTCTAATGCAAGATAGGAAACCAATTGCATATTTCAATCAGGTTCTTCCACCACGGACACGAGGGAAGTCGATTTATGATAGGGAACTCATGGCTATTGTCCTGGCAATACAAAAATGGAAGCACTGTTTGTTAGGTCGAAGGTTCGTGGTGCGTACTGACCAATGCAGCTTGAAATTTTTACTGGTGCAGCACGAAGTAAATCAAGAATATCAAAATGGCTGACCAAACTGTTGGGGTTTGACTTTGACATTGAGTACAAGGCGGGTCGAGAGAATAGAGCAGCTGATGCACTCTCCAGGATAGATGCAACGGTAACTGTAATGACTTTAAGCGCCCCCAGTGCCCTGGAACTTGGGATACTTAAGAAAGCGGTGGAAGAGGATGCTGAGATAGGTATTATAGTTGACTCACTGCGCAAGGGAAGGACAGTTTTCCCAGGTTATTCACTACTTCGTGATCTACTGCTATACCATGATAGGTCGGTGCTCCCAAAGGACTCTCCTTTTGTGCAGATTGCTTTGCAGGAAGGGCATTACAGCAAGGTAGGAGGTCATTGGGGTTTCCTCAAAACTTATAAAAGGGTGGCTCAAACTTTTTTTTGGAAAAGCACGAGGAATGATATCCAATTGTATGTAGCTGAATGTGCAATTTGCCAACAACACAAATATTCTACTCATGCGCCGGCCGGGTTGCTCCAACCACTGCCCATTCCCAACCAAGTTCGGGAAGATGTATCGATGGATTTTATAGAAAGGCTGCCTCAATCGGAAGGGTTTGATTCTATACTAGTAGTGGTTGACCGCCTGAGCAAGTACGATCATTTCATCGGTTTGAAGCACCCCTTTTCAGCCCCAGCGGTTACTGCAATATTCACAAGAGAGGTGGTCAAGTTGCATGGGCTGCCTCGTTCTATAGTGTCGAACAGAGATAAGGTATTTTTGAGTCACTTTTGAAGGGAACTTTTCAGATTGCACGGGAAGACCTTAAAGTACAGTTCAGCATACCATCCACAATCTGATGGCCAATCCGAGGTGGTAAACAGGGGTCTGGAAACATACTTGAGATGTTTTGCATCAGTTAAACCGAAGCAGTGGTACTAGTTCCTACCATGGGCGGAATACTCTTATAATACTTCCTACCATGTCTCTGCACACCTCACCGCTTTCCGTATCATTTATGGACGCGACCCTCCGCCATTAATTCGTTTTGAACGGGGTGTTACAACTATCTCTTCACTTGAGCAACAACTACTGGAGCGTGATAAAATGTTGGAAGAGTTAAAGGTACATCTACACAAGGCACAGCAACAAATGAAAAGAGTGGCGGATACAAAGAGATGGGACGTTGAATATGCAACAGAGGATTGGGTTTATGTGAAAATGAGACCTTACAGGCGCAAGTCTCTTGTGACCCGTTCAAATGAAAAATTGGCACCTTGATATTACGATCCTTTCCAGGTGATAGCAAGGGTAGGAAAAGTGGCATGCTGCCTTGAATTGCTAGCCACCACTCGTATCCATCCAGTCTTTCATGTTTTGTAGTTAAGGAAAGTCTTGGGAATGCTTTGTTTAAAAAAAAAAAAAAGAAGTAAAAGCAAAGTGGTAGGCAGTGGAGTGATAAACATTACCCAATTTATGTGTATAATAATTCATTTCAATCCATAAACACACAGAATACACGCAAGGAGGCCGAGAACAAGGAGAAAAAGGAAGGGAAAAGAGAAAGGAAAAAGGAGGGAGGGGGGGGGGGGGGGGGGGGGGGGAACGGGTAGAATATATGTATTGAGAAAAGAGTGGTCATCCGTGTAGTGCAGTTTCTTGTTTTCTGTATTGCTTCCAGTTATAAAATTCATAAGTTCTCTCATCTGCTCTTATCATTTTCATTGTTCAGACTTCAGATATTCCTCTAATTGACAATGTTTCGGGAAACTTCTTATAGAGTGAACCAAATTTGATCGTGCAAGAATAGCAATAACCATAATTCATAAGCAATAAATGCAAAATTTCACAGGGTTCTAAATAATAGTAAATAGAGGCATAGAGACATACAGTGTTCTCCCCAAACAGGTAAACGAGGAACGTTAAAAGGACCAATTAAAGCAGTTGATTTTGATAATTTATGAAAAGAATCTGAGCTCTCCAACTTCACCTACTACAATTGCATGTAATTGATTTGTCATATTAAAATTCTACCTGAGGTAGCGTGACGACGGCTTTCCCAGATGAAGACTGCACACAACCAAATTGGCAAGAGTTTCTGGATCCTTCGCATCCTGTGCATACCATCAAAACTCACTCATATGGAGAAATTCAAAGTAAACTATGGCTTCCAACATAATATGCACCAGCACAGAGCAATGTAGACAGAGAACATAATATATCAGATAAATTATAACAAATACAAAGCATAAAGTAGAGTGCCATGTAAGGAAAAATTATCTAAATTAAGAAGATGGCATGCATCAAACCCAACTCTATAAAATAAAGAGATAAGCCACAGTATATGTGCATTGTGACAACATGCTTCATAATTAACAAGACAAAACACTCTCCCAGAAAACCTGCAAATAGCATTAAGATTTAGGAGCTTCAAGAAAATAAACAGACAAAGATATGCAAAACATACCTTGTTTAGAGCTTCAAGCAAAAGTGACTCTGCTTCATCAAAAGTTCCCATAAGCATGCAGCAAACAGCCTTCCCATTCAGGATCAAGCTAGTCATCTGATATTTCTCTGAGAAGTCTTGAAAAATAAGATATGCTTCCTGTATCTTCGAACCACCCTAATTCAAAAGAATAATTCTTAAGTTTACAGGTTTTCAATTTCAAAATCGAGCACTGTAATATAGAATGAAACAATAAATACCACAGCCAAATTTAACCATGCATTTGCAAGTTGAGTAAGTGCGTGGTCTTCATCTATTTGTTGCATGATTCTCAATTGTTTCTCGGCATAATCCGATCTGTGCATCTTCAGAAAAATTTGAACGTTCAAAGCATGCCTGCAAAAGCATTAAAAAAAAATGGAACAAAAATAAGTCAACATGCAATCCCTACTTACAGAAAAAAGATTGCATGAAATGCATTTGTAGATAAGGTGGAACTCACAACCCCCTTCTGCGGTTCACACATTATTATAACTATTTACAGTCTTTTGACAACTGAACCTTTATTGATTGGGAGATAAAGGTAGTGTATCTAAAGAATAGAGGCAAGATTCCACACAAGATTATAAAACAATTAACAAGTCAATAACAAAAAGTACAAAGAAAGGCAGATGAATTAAAAAAGTCTAAACAGAAGCCCTTGTCAAATATTGCATCAAGATTGGAAACAAAGAGAAATAGTTAAAAAAATGCAGATAATCACAACCAAGCTCTTATACTGTTAGAAATCTCAGGCAACATTTAAAAGGATCTCCTCACATTCAAGAATCATTAAAACAAGAAATATTTGAACCAAAACATGATACACTTAAGAAAAAGAGTTGGCAGACAAATAGTGACACAAAAGTCAGATCCGATTGTGGAAAATCACTGTCAAAAAATATCAAGCTAATAAAATTATTAACAAGAAACGATGACTGGAGACAGAATTTTAACCCCCGTTTGATTCCCATTATTTGCCCATTAAAATGAAAAATATGACCGTCATCCATCACATCAAATCACCATATTTAACTTTCTATCTCTTGTGTGAAGCCCGTAACTATTATATTTTTCATTCTCATTTTTACATTAACGTGTACCAAACGGGTAGTCACTATAATGTAATTTACTATTTTTTTTAAAAAAAATTAATAATTATTTTTTCTTAGAGAAATTGTACTTTTTTGAATAAAAAATAAAGAGCATAGTTTCCACACTGTAAACACACAATGAAACACATCTATTAAAAGTAAAATAGAGAATAATAAGCATAAGGAAATCTCATAAGAGAAGAACAAGTATCAAAATTAGTTCCGCCGGATCAAATTATTGAAAGTAATAATAATAACAGCAAACTTCATTGACCCTTTGCTAACTCTAGACGAAGTTCTAACTGATAAAAGTGGAGGAAAACCAAGCATGGAGAGACTACTTAACTATATAGGAAGCATTGTTGATAAGCTGAAAATTTAGTTGAAAATATGGTGATACAACATAACTCCTAGTTTAAACCCACAGTAAACAGTAAACAATACATTATCAGGGAGCAGACAATTAGTGACTTGAAGGAATATTTACATTCATCCCCAATTCAATCAAGCAAACTGAACAAATTCCATGGGACATATCTACATGATACACCAGCAGAAGCATGTCACAACCTACATATCCATCAAGCATCCAGCACCCCCCAAGTTTGTAGGAATCAACCAGACATTATCAAGATTCACCTTGCTTGTCTAGAATAGAAGGGAAACAACTAGAGATTCTCAGGGTCAATAAACAAAAGACTCACAGGTCCATGGTTCCCCCTGCATTTGTATGTTTCAAAGCTTCATTATAATCCTGCTCATGCATGAATATAATCCCAGCAATAAGACGCAAGATAGGGTTGTTTCCGATCGCTGGATCTCCTAACCACTCCTGGAGACTAGAGATTGTAATTTCCTACAATATAGAACAACTGATTGAATTAAATTCTTATCCGGTGACGAAATTTCAAAGACAAACAATAAAATAAGAGTTTTTATGCACCCGTTGAGATCTTTATAATAATATGAAGGCTGTAAAATTTAATTGATATAATCAGGCTCTCCATCATTCATAAGCAAGTAGGAAAGTCAGTAAAGAGAACATAGAGATAAATCTATTCCTGAAACTCATGTCGGACATGAACAATTTGTACCTAGGACAATGTCTACGCTTGTCGAAAGTAAAACTGTCATAAAATATTTTCCATAATAAGAGAAAATGTGCAAACCTAAAATTTATTCTTGCTTAATTTTGTAATTTCTTCCTTTTTTTCTTTGGAATGAACAAAACTAAAATTCTCCCTATTCTTTCCGTTTTTCTCACTGAATTTAGGATCCATATGGAGGTTCATTTTCTACTTCAAGGGCCCTGACTCCCTACAGTCAGTTCGAAGAGAAATTTGTTATAAATGCTTTATATATTATACCTACAGTGGGATAAAAAAAACTTCTGTTACTACTTAGTCAATCCCATTTCCCAACACGGATAAATCTGATAATCACGAATTTGCAACTTTCACAAAAGAAAGAAGAATCTAACCTCCCCGATCACAAGGCGTTCTGAACACAACATAAGAAATTGAATTACAACCTCATTATACTTAAAATTTCCCTTCTTCAATCATTTTGTCAAAACCAAATCGCTTATTTTAATTTCCTAATTGAACTGAGGAAAAAATTCAAGTTGGAACCCTGGATAGAGTATTTCTCTAGTCCAGATTCACAAGCAAAACTCCAGATCACATCAGTAAAAAGCAAGATCCGATACACGATAAAAGGATTCAAAGAACAAACGAAATTCACCTTGTTGTCGGGGCTCGAGAGGTATAAAGCAAGCAATTTTACGGCTTGAAGTGGCGTTGCTGCCGATGAATCGATCTCATTTATCACAAGCTACACCCCGATAGATAAATAAAAAAAATTAGTCAATAATAAGAAATCTTTCGTCAAAAAATTCATGCGATACGAAAAAACTAAAAAAATTAAAGTGAAAAAGAAAAAAAAAAGTTCTCAATTTACTAAAATTACTACTTTGTGTAGCTACGATCTGGAAAAACGAGGCAGAATGCATAATCTAATTATACCTGATAACTGCCAAGGGCAATGTACGATCTGTAAACGAGTGTGTCCCTCTCAACGGCGTCTTCTGTGGAGAGATTGGGGATGTCGCTGTTATTGATGGCTGCCTGGTATGCACCCAAGTAGAAACTGTTCTTTAATCCAAACAACGGATCCGGTCCTCCTGCTGCCATTTTTGTTCAATTTCGCGTAGATCAGATCTATCCAAAAATCAGAGTGAGAAACAAATAAACATCGAAACTTACAAATAGAAAGAAAAATGATTTCAGATCGTTCCGATTTAGAAGTCCGGTGTATTCATTTTTGGTCCTAATATGGGTCCAACGTCATGCGAATTTGATCCCATCACGGGTTGTTCTAGTTATTTTGTTCCAGGCTAGCCCAATACGCGGCCCATTATATCTTCCACCAGCTAACGCCAAAATACTGGTTAGCCTCTTTCATGTATGGGTAGATTATAGAAAAAATTAGAAAGAAACTTACATTTAAAGACTAATTTTCTTAAAGAAGGGGTATTTTTCAAAATTTTATATCGGATGATAATTAGATATTATTAATAAAAATTCAATTGAACTAAATCTACATGAGTAATGTTATATATAATCGCTCACCACGATAATCGCGATACGTGACATCATAAATTGCTATTTGTAATTTGATATGTTAATGCGTTAGTTTTTTAATTTTTTTTATTTTATGTATCAAATTACTAATCCCCACATGTAGCATTATTCAATCTACATAATCACCCCCACCACGCCTGTCCACTCACCACTCCCAACCCAAGAACCCTCTTCTCTCTCTCTCTCTCTCTCTACCCACGCATCCCCACCCCCACTCCCACTCTCCGAACCATCTCTCCAACATCATTGCACGTGCATGAAGGGTGCTTAGCCCAATTTACCAACTGTCTTTCATTGACATACGCATATTTGCAGTGGCGAACCCAGAGACTTCGAACTGTGGGGTCAAAAATGAAATTTTTTTCGAACAACATATCATTAACAAAAATATATTCATATGCTACTACAATTGTAGCCTACACATTTTCATACTTTGAAAACGTCGTATAATTACATCGTTATCAATATCGTCAAGTACATCGCTCTCAATATATGCAACCAAACTATCACTTAACCATTGATCTCCCATTCGATTACGTAGTCGATTCTTGACAATCTTCATTGCAGAAAATACTCTTTCTACCATAGCAGTTGCAACTGGAAGAATTAACGTCAATGTTACAAGCCTGTAAACTAATGGGTACACCTCATGTTTTTTCGTCACAACCAAGGTTTCTGCAAGATCATTAAGGCCTTGTAACCCTTCAAAATCTTTGTGAGAGCGCATGTCAATAATATAAGTCTGAATTTGCTCTTCAAGTGCCAAGATCTCTATTGGTTTAAAATCTTTGGAATAATAATCACACAATTGAATTAACTTATCCTTGTTGAAAGCAGAGAATGAATTATCTGGACACAAGCATGCAACACAAAGGAGTAAGTCACTATTTACCTCAGAGAAATGATCATTCAGCTCTTGAATTTGCATATCGATGATAGCATAGAAGAAATCCACACGAAAAGGATGTAAATTTGTAATTTCTTGAGTATTACGCCGTGAACGGCCTAGAGATATAAACATATCGTCCATATTGGGAACATTAATATTGTACCTTTCGTAAAAGCAAGAAATTGTTCTTAAAAATGATTCTCATTCATTGTCCATCATTGCTTGAAGTCGTTCTTTACTTATTTTCACTAATTTCATAGCGTTGACAATATCTTGATCTCTCCTTTGTAATGATTTTGACAATTCATCTGAAATACCCAATACCTTTTTCATGAGATGTAAACTGAATACAAAATCAAATGTCAACATAGATCCCAACAAAATACGTGCTTCCCCTCGCTTTCTACAACTAGTATCATCAGTGGCAATCATCTCAACGACATCAACTATAGCAGAAAACATGATAATCAAGTTAAGTAAAGAATTATAGTGAGAGCCCCAACGAGTATCACCAGGTCGCTTAAGAGTAGTTTCTTGATTAAGGCCCTTTCCACTTGAGATTTCACCAAGATTTAATGATTCAACAACTTCAAGCCTCTTCTTCTAAAGTAAAGAATGTTTCAATTTATGCATTTACCACTTTATTCACTAAAGTAAAGAATATTTCAATTTATGCATATTTGCTTGCCACAGCTACAAGAGCTAGTTGTAGTTGATGAGCAAAATGTTGGAAAAAATGGTTATGAAATGGGTCAACTTTGAGCTCAAATTTTAGTGGGACCCACCTTTTAATTAATACGAGATTTAGTATATTCACGTTCTACTTCGCGAGATGATTAGCGTGATATATTTATTTATCGAAAACCATTTAAAATTGAATGAAATATTAAGTGTTAACGTAACCCACATAAACTAAGTATTATGGAAGAATTTGATTTTTCAAACACTTATCCCACATAAGAAAGTTAGGAAACTTTGGTGTGGTTTATAAGGTGGAAGTTTGGAATTGGGTTTGGGCCCCAAGAGGTACCAATAGTCTTTGGAAGGGGGAAGACCTATATCCTATTGGGTTCGGTCATAAACCCACACGCGCGCGCCGCCACCGTCATCCATTCGACCGGTCGGTCGGCTCGGCTCAGCTCGGCACGGCACGAGCACGAGCACGTGCTCGTGTCCTAGTTCGGTTCGGTGCAGGTGCGGGTGGACCTTTACACTATATTAACTTTTTGGACAAAATTTATTTAAAATTTTGGGCCAAATTGTAAATAATCAAATTCTTGGGTACATTATGAAATTTAAATTTTGGCTTATTCCGGGTGTTTTATTTTCTTTTAACAGTCGACTGTTTACCGACCAAACAATCAACCGTTAGCCGACTGTTAACCGACTTAACAGACACGACTTTTAAGAACAGCATGTCTGTTCGAATTTTTGAGGCTTGTCTGAAAGGTGATGACTGTTCGAATAGCCACGAACAAGTCTATAAATAGCCAGCCTCTCTACCAAAAAATTTACACCATTTTCATTGCAAACTTTCTGTGCTTTGAATCTCATCCTCTTCTCTCTCGTTCTGATATTGTCTCGAAGTAAAATACACTTCGTTGAGTTCGTTGGAACTCCTGCAAATTGTAGTACTACTTCCGTAGGAGATAAAAATTCGTTCTATCCTAGGAAACGATTGCTGGACGCCTTTAGCACCATTGAAGGCAGCAAATTCGTTTTAAGGAAATATCGTGAAGTGGGTGGGCTCGAATTATTGTTTACATCCTGTTGATAAATTCTTTGCATTCAGGTGATTCTGTCGGATTGGTTTCGAAGGAGTAACGTCAAACTCTAGAAACAACTTAAAACGAATTTTGTATTATTATTTTGTTTCTGTTTCTACTCCTTTTTACCGTTGATTTTCTGATTGTGTTTCAGAAATGGCAACTTCTGGTATCACACTCCTGAATACGACCGGGGAAAAACCAGAAAAATTTAATGGGTCAGATTTCAAGCGTTGGCAACAAAAAATGCTTTTTTATCTGACAACGTTAAATCTGGCTAAATTTCTCAAAGAAGACGCGCCTTCATATACCGAGCAAGACAGTGATGCTGAAAAATTGGCTGCGGTTGATGCATGGAAGCATTCTGATTTCTTATGCAGAAATTATGTACTTAATGGACTGGATAACACATTATATAATGTGTACTGCAATGCTAAGTCCGCAAAAGAATTGTGGGAATCTTTGGACACAAAGTACAAAATCAAAGATGCCAGCACGAAGAAATTCATTGTCGGTCATTTTTTGGATTATAAAATGGTTGACAACAAGACTGTCATATCCCAAGTTCAAGAACTTCAGATCATACTTAGCGACATCCATGCCGAAGGAATGAAACTAAGTGAATCGTTCCAAGTCGCTGCACTAATTGAGAAATTACCACCTTCATGGAAGGATTTCAAGAATTACCTAAAGCACAAGCAGAAGGAAATGAAACTTGAAGATATCATTGTCCGATTGAGAATAGAAGAAGACAATCGCAAAACTGAAAAAAGAAATGGTGCATCTAATTCAATGAAATAAAAAGCCAACATTGTAGAAGAAAGCTTCAAGACAAGCAAAAAGAGGAAGCACAATGGGGAAGGACAAATTGGTTTTTCAAAAATTACTAAAAGTTTAAAGACAACTGTTACAATTGTGGTAAGGCAGGACATCGATCCAAGGATTGTCGAAAGCCAAAAAATGTGAAAGGAAAAACTAACCAGGCCAATGTAACAGAACATAAGAACCTCACTGATAAGGTACAAGACATGAATCTTTCTGTGGTCGTCTCTGAATGCAACTTAATTGGAAACACTAAGGGGTGGTGGGTAGATACTGGAGCTACTCGTCACATATGCTCAAACCACGGGATGTTCTCTACTTACAAAGCAATGGATCATGATGAACATCTCTACATGAGAAACTCGTCATCTTCTAAGATAGAAGGACATGGGAAGATGTGCTGAAAATGACAAGTGGAAAAGAGCTCACTCTGAATGATGTTCTTCATGTGCCCGATATTAGGAAAAACTTGGTATCTGGTTCTCTACTAAGTAAGAACGGGTTTAAACTAGTATTTGTCTCGGACAAATTTATACTCTCAAAGAATGAAATGTTTGTAGGAAAAGGCTACCTGAATGAGGGGCTCTTTAAATTGAATGTAATGACTGTTGTACCTCCAATTAATAAGAATACATCTTCTTCTTACTTGCTTGAGTCATTTAACATTTGGCATGAACGATTAGGACATACAAGTTATAACACTTTGCGTAGACTAATCAAATTAGATTTATTACCAAAGTGTGATTTAAATTCTAATCACTAATGCGATATATGTGTAGAAGCCAAAATGTCACGTCTACCTTTTTGCTCTGTTGAAAGAAGTACCGAACCCCTAGATTTAATTCACACCGACATATGTGATTTAAAATTTGTTCAAACTAGAGGAGGTAATAAGTACTTTATCACTTTTATCGATGATTGTACTCGATATTCCTATGTGTATTTGCTCAAAAGCAAAGACGAAGCAATTGAAGTGTTTAAACACTACAAGTTAGAAGTTGAAAATCAACTTAGCAAAAGGATTAAGGCCATAAGAAGTGATAGAGGTGGTGAATATGATTCACCATTTGAGAAATTCTGTTCGGAATCGGAATTATTCATCAAACTACCGCGCCTTATTCTCCTCAATCTAATGGTATTGCTGAACGCAAGAATCGAACATTGAAGGAGATGATGAATGCTATGTTAATAAGTTCTGGATTACCGCAGAACTTGTGGGGGGAAGCCTTGCTTTCCGCCAACTATATTCTTAACAAACTACCACATCGAAAAACGCAAAAGATACCTTATGAAGTATGGAAAGGTCACAAACCTAATTATAAATACTTGAAGGTATGGGGATGTTTGGCTAAGGTAGTAGTTCCTAAACCTAAAAGGGTTAAGATAGGACCTAAAACCATTGATTGTGTATTCATTGGTTATGCCTACCATAGTAATGTGTACAGATTTATGGTATATAAGTCTGAAATACCTGATATGTATGTTAATACAATTATTGAATCAAGGGATGCTATATTTTTCGAAAATACTTTTCCTTATAACATGCAAGACGAATCAAATTCACGAAAGAGATCTCGTGAAAATGAAGAGACTATAGATCAAGAATCTATAAATGAACAACCTAGACGAAGCAAGAGGGCTAGGACGTCAACCTCCTTTGGGCCTGATTTTCTAACATATTTGTTAGAAAA